GTAGCGCTGTAGCTTAGCAAATTTAGAATAGACTCCTCCCTTTAAATTCAATAAAAATGCAATGAAAGAGGAAGTGGCAAAAGCTTGCAGGAGTTTTTCGACATTTCGCCTTTTGCCTCTATCTACAAGTCAAAGACGCTCCCAGTTCTACGTTGCTGTCTCTCAAACAGAATTTTTTAGATTGAATAAGACAGTATTTACTTAATATGTCTGAACACCCACCTATAAAGACAATCATTATATGGTATCAGCTCATGTCGCCTTTTCTGTTGACGATTTCTTGCAATATATTCACTTCTTACCAAAGGTAAATTAGGCGAATGACCAGGTAAAGTTAAAGGGATCTGGAATAGGCGCCCAATTTTAAAAAAAAAACTTTTTTATTTGATTAGTGGACCCACCTGTGTCAGTTTTCCTTGCTTTTGAAAGTAATCGAGAACTCGTTGAACCTCCTCCGGCACGGTGTATTTGTAGATAGTAACGTTTGATGCACCAAAAAGATATTGCGCTTCTAGCCATTCTACAAGTCTCACGGATACATCCGTCTAAAAAACCTTTTTTTAAATTTTTAATGGTAATGTAGGTTTAAAAAAAGTGAATTTATGTAATTTCGAGGACTTTCAAAAAAATGAATAAAAGTGGCACCTGAAAATCCATTCCTTTCACACAAACAGCCACTGCATCCTTCTTTTTGGGCTCTAATTGATCCACATGCACACGAACGACTACGCGCTGCGCGCTACAAGGTATGGAAGTAATCGATACGTAGAGTTCCTTTGAGGAGCGGAATCTCTTCGGCACAGGACACGAAATCAAATTTGGAATGTAGAAATGGTCCCTGGATTATCTTTCCCCAATTTTCTGAATATTTTTTTGGGAATTTAGAAATACCTTGGGTCCCATCCGCGTTGCCAAATTTCACGCGCATAGCCCTCAACTACACCATAATGTTTCTCATCATAAATGTTACAGTACACCTGGTGACGTAACGTTCGAAATGACATGGTAAGGATCTAGGCAAGCATTTGAATTGCACAAATTAGAACATTTAAATTAATTCTTCTTCGTTTTACCTGAATGACGTCATTCCATGGATATAACGAATTTGCTCTTCTGTCCAAATAAGCATTATATATGTATAGACCATCATTCTCTGTCCATTCTCTATCGCTGATGATATCAAATCGATTGATTCGACACCACCAGTAGTATTCCACCACTGGATGTTCCTAAAATAGCTTTTTTTCCAAAATTTTCTATGATCAATAAATCATTATTGACCATAATCATAATTATCAGACCTCAATATTGTGGAATTTCTAAATGCTGCAAAATTTAAGCATCACTGTATCCATTGATTCAAAATCTTTAGAATATCTCAAGGAGGGGGTTGTGGGAGTGTTCTTATCCAGGAAGTAGACATTTTTTGTTCATTTTTCAATTATAATTTGTCTCAAAGTTGATTGACAATTTCATTTTTTTACACTTTTATCTTGAAAATTCAATTTCAACAATTCAAATTAACTGTACAAATTCAACTTAAAATGACTATCGCGCCCGGTGGCAAAAAGACCAAAAAAGGCAGTACGAAAACTTGAAACAAAAAGGATGGTAGCATTACTTTTGTGGTACCTTGTGATTTAAGACATCTGGAACTTCCCCTACATATAAATTGCAGAATATGAAAATTAGCTATGAGATTATAAAAGTTAACGCGAGAAATAAGCATTGAAAAGGTTAGTAGGAACATAAGCTATTACAAAACTTCAAACTACCGTACCCGTTCAACAACTGGATGTATTTCTGCCTT